GCGCCGCACGCTCCCGAGCGGTGAGTGAGTTCCCGCCACGCTGCTCCCCGCCACCGGAACCCAGCATGACGGCACATGGTATGGAATACCTGTCTCTGTTTGGCCAGGTTGGGGTTGGGTCAGCCCCCCTGGCAGTGCCCCTTCCTGGATTCTGGTGAAAATTAACCCTGTCCTGGCCAAACCCAGGACACAGGTCTTCTACCCAGTTTCTAGAGTTACTTAGTGGGACGTATCTTCCAAATCATGATAAAACCATTTTATAAGTTAATTGGCAAACATTTCTGGTGGCTGCTCCAGGAGGCATATATAACTTGGAAAACCTTAAGGAGATCAGCATTTTTCAAAGAGTCCACAGCCTCACTGGGTTGTTTTGTTTTAAACACGTGGGGCCACTGAAATTATACAAGTGAGGTATTTGGCCTTCATACTTAAGTTTTAGAAGTGCTGAGCACCTGTAAGTCTAAATGAAAGCAAGTCACTGCGGGTTTAGTGTCCTAGCGTCTCTTAAATTAGGCCATAAAAAGTATGGTTGAGCTTACATTCCAGAGTGTGATTGTAAGGTTAGCATTGGGAGAATTTTTTTTTTTTTTGCTGTAGCTAGAGCATCTTTGAAAATTGATCATTACTGTGCAGTAAAAATGGAAACCATACAACTTCTAGGCTCATTATTTATAGTCATGCTGTACCTTAATCTCCCTTTGCCCCAATTTCCACCCAAATAAAATTGTGATAATAAGGCTTGCTTACCCTATGCTTAAAGAAAGGTTCACCAAGGTATCTGCTGGCAGCTTTGGAAAAGTGCCGCCTGGGATTTTTACATTTCCTAGGTTTCAAACATTCACTGCTGTTGTTTAATTTTGAGGGGGAGACGTTGGGGTGTGATTTTGGTTTTTTTCTTTATTTTTTCTGAAAGAACTGCCATGTTTTACTGAGAATTTATCTTCCTGGAATTTTTTAATCCCAAAGTTGGGTGTCAGGTGTTTGCTGAAACTCTGAGGATGGGAATATTTTAACAGTACTTGTGGAAGACTAGTATATGATTTGTACTTTGTGTAAAAGGGAGACATTGTACCATGATTTATCTAATACTTATAAATTTTAGTTGTAGAAGCAGAGAAAAGAAAGAAAGATGAAGCTATCAAAGACCTGGAAACATTTTGGAAGTACCTGGAGCCAGTTCTGAACAGTGGCAAGCATGGATCAAGTCTCTTTGATGTTGCCAGACTTCATCACCTAGTTAAGGAGAACGCCTTTCCCTCTAATTGGTCTGACAGAGAAATGCTGGTCAGTAGATTCTGCTTTCACCACGCAGGGCGTGCTTTGGGGTTTGTAACATTTAAGACCAATCTAGAAATGACAGGAATTTTAGCTTAGTCTTCTATGAAAAAGAACCAGAGTAGTTAGTATATTTGTAATATCAAATAAAACTTATTTCCTATGTATCCAACAAGTTTATCCAGCATGTATTAACGAGGAGTTCTTTGAATAAAAATACCTAAACTGGACTTTCTTAATACTGTAGGCCACACAGCAGAGTTTTAAAACAGTTTGAGGTATTAAATTTATTTATCATCTTTACCTAGACCCAACTTGGATCTCATTAAAGAGTCAGATGTCTGTATGAAATAACATAAGAATTACATTTTTGTCTTCATAACACAGAATCACAGAATCACGGAATGGTAGGGGTTGGAAGGGACCTCTGTGGGTCATCTAGTCCAACCCTCCTGCCGAAGCAGGGTCACCTACAGCAGACTGCACAGGACCTTGTCCAGGCGGGTCTTGAATATCTCCAGAGAAGGAGACTCCACCCCCTCCCTGGGCAGCCTGTTCCAGTGCTCCATCACCCTCAGAGGGAAGAAGTTCTTCCTCATGTTCAGACGGAACTTCCTGTGCCTCAGTTTGTGCCCATTGCCCCTTGTCCTGTCACTGGGCACCACTGAAAAGAGCTTGGCCCCATCCTCCTGACACCCACCCTTCAGATATTTGTAGGCATTTATAAGGTCCCCTCGCAGCCTTCTCTTCCTCAGGCTGAACAAGCCAAGTAAGACAGCAGGTCTACTTACTGTATCTCAGAATAGTCACATGAGAACAAATTAAAATGAACGCAAGAATGCTTTTTGATAGAAGATGTTGTTTTAGCATACCCAGTACTGCTTCTTTTTGTCGAACCCAAAATATGGTTCTGGCTTATTACTCATTATAGCCTGCTGAGTCAGGACTACTACCAGGCACTGCACGAGAAAGTGAACCACTAGAAATTTTTTCCATCCTAGCTTCTTAGATATGGTGAGGTAAAAGGGTCCGGTATTTTTCAATCTACGATGGCAGCAGTAAAAAATACAAACTGCTAAAGCAAAATAAAGCAACATGCTGTAATTGAACCTACTTTATTTGTGGTCTGTATTGTTAGGGTTAAAGGACAGACTACATCCTCCTAACAGTTATTTACAGTACATTAAATCCTGTATTTAAAAAGTCTGGTGAGCTAGGAAGTACCCTTGATCCTGAAGGGATCAGAATAGAGTCCACAGTGGTTTCCAAGGCATTTGCTAAAAATGCCTTAATTGTGGAAATGTGTAGGCTTGCTACTTACAACATTACTTATCGTTATACTCTTGATCTAATCTTAAAATATGAAGCCCATTTTGGGTAAGAAGTTTTTTATCTTGTATGTCTTCCCCATAATCAAATCTCATAGGGGACTCTTGCTGCTTGTGAATATCCTGCGAACAGCTATATTATAGCTGAAATAAAAGAAAAATGATCTGTCACTGAAAGCGTTCCAGCAGATTGTAGTTGCAATTTCACATTCTTCTGTATCTCATAATTCAGCAAAGCCCTAAAGAAGTAGGAACATTTGTAAGTTTTTGAAGAAACAGATGGGAAGAATGTAAGTTGTGAAATCATAGGTGGATAGAGTAAGTCTGTTCTGGTGGACTTGCTGCAGAGTCTCGGAGTCCTAGCTTGCTGCGTCTCTGAAGTCCAAGATGTACAGAAGGAAAACTCTTGTGACAAGTTGTTAGACACTGATAGAGTATTACGTACAGCAAGTAGTCTCCACTTTCACATTTCAGATCTTTAGAAAGGAAAATACTTTCAAAAATACTTTTATTTGTTCATAAGTCACTAATGGTTAGACTCAGAAAACTTCTGACAAACATCTGTGTCTGTCCTGAGAAGAGCAGAGAACAAGCAAATTGTACTAAACTTTACATGTGTCCCATTGGATAGTGCTAAGTTTTGTTACTTGTACTTTCATAAAAAATCGTGTTTTAAAAAGTCGTGTTTTGTTTAAAAGATTGTGCATTCAAAACACTCATGTGCTCTAGTGATACCTTGCCAGTAATACATGAATGGAAGGTTTTTATACTAACCCATTCTTCAGAAGAGTATTGAGTTGCAAAAATAAAGGTGCAAGTATATTAACTCTGAGAATTCTGTTTTCACAAATAGAAATTCTCTCCCAAGTATCTCATCCAATCTTTAAAAGTTGTGAAAACTGAGACAAGTATTCTGTAACTGATCAGTGATTCGGGGTACTTGTTTGAAATGCCATAAACAGGGTCTGAGTTGAAGAAAGTAGATGCTTAATTCTTCTTAAAGGTCAGTTAATATATTTAGTGCTTAATGACATTTGTGCTTCTTCACTGAGTTTAATTTTGGAAACTTAAAATTGAGACATCAAATGTTGATAGCCACCTCTTAGAGGCAAACTTTTAATACAAGAGACTTCTACTTTCACAAAAGTGAAAGAATTGATCAGAAAAGGGCTCTTGACAGATATTGTCTAAAAATTATAATAGTTTTGTCTTTTCCACAATTTCTAGGATGTACAGAGCAAGAATACATCCATTAAAGCCACTGAAACTTGAGTGTGGCATGTGGTCTCAGATAGGGTTTTGGTATTTGTACAAAAACTTTTCACATTTAGAAAGCAGTTGCTATTCTTTTTATTCCTCCCAAGCTTTGGTGAAAACCACAGTACATCACCTCAAGGACCTTGACTCTTTCCTTGCCAGACTTTTGCAGATCTGGCACTCTCCTTTTGGACAGGGGTGGTGGATTCCCCATCCCTGGAGGTGTTCAAAAAATGTGTACATATAGTACTTCAGGACATGGTTTACTAGACATGGTGGTATTTGGTTGACGGTTGGACTTGATGATCTTAGAGGTCTTTTCCAACCTTAACGATTATATAAGTCTGTGATTCAGTAGGTACGCTGACATTCCTTTGCTTGCACAGCTATGGAATTCAGAGTTCAGTTCTTCATGCTTTGTTTGTTTTAAAAGGGCAACAGAAGGAAAGGAAATAACATGAGATTACATTGATTACTTGGCTGGGTTTTTATTTTTTATTTTTTTGTCCTTCTAGGGTAGGAGAGTTGTTGACCTTGCAAATATACTGCAGGTTGATCACCAGTAGAAACATGAACATATGATGTAAAATAATTATTTTAAGTTACCTCTCCGATTCCTTCCCAGCCAAAAAACTAACCTAAATTCTGGTTTCAGGAGAACACTTTGAGCGGTTACTGTTAAGACAGGTTAGACTTTAGAACAACTAAAGCAGTTAGGCAATACTCTGTACTGTGGTGTGGCAGTGTTCAGGCTAATAAAATTGAGGAGGCCTTGTTTTCTTAGAACAACTTTATAACACATTTTGAATTAGTGGAGAAAAAATCCCTTGGAAGATTTTTAAATGGTTGAGATCTTCTGGTTAGAGAGCTAATGACTCATGTTGCTAAGTTACATGACACTTTTGTATGCGAACTTCATCATTTGTATCTAATTTTCTGTCATAGCTTGCATTTGGCACTGCACTGTTTGAAAGCATTGCTTGTTTAATGTATGACTGCCTGGACTGGAGAAGACAGCATTGTAACTACTTGGAAAACACCAAGTTTATTAATGTACCTGCATTATCAGAGAGCAAATCGACACAACCACCTGTTACTGAGGCAAGGTTCCTTCTCTTCTTGTAGAGAATAACTAGTTATAGGCTAGAATTGCCTGTCTTTAATTCTGAACTCAAAAATTCACCTTGGACCATCATTCCATGTGTAATTTTCTAGTGAAAATGGGATTTTTGTCTTCAGCATTTAAAACCTCAAAAATGGAAAAAAAAATAGCCAAGCACTGCGGAAACACGAAAATGAAAATTTGAAGGATCGTACAGGCATAAAGTATCATAGGTGTAAAAATTCCTTAAACAGCTTCTGATGACACCTTCTTGTGTCTGAAAAGTCAATATGCCTGCACAGAGCTACTATCTCTTGTTGCAGATCTGTGAACTATCAAAAAAAGATTATTAGTTCTGTGCAAGATCAGTTTCTTTATTTTGTTCATGGCGGAGAAAAGCTTAAGTGGGCCGAAGAAAATGGTTTATTAGGACATCTACTAGTGGCAGGGAAAAAATGGGCTTACTCCATCTGTAGCAGTAATACTGAATGCTCATTTAAAGCATTCATAAAACTACATTCTCAATGTCTTGTTCCATTCAGAGTTAGGTGGAATTTCCCTCCCCTAATACCTGCCATTTAAAAGTTTAGCATCTAGTCTAGGGTAAGGAAACAAAGCTAAATGAAATTAGTTTCTCCTGCCTATTATGTGCTATCCTCATTTGTTCCACTGTTTCTGAGGGTTTTTTTATCTTTGTTTTTGTTCCTTTAGGTACAACCAGCATCACAGATTACACCTTCAAAGAAAAAAGGTCAACCAGAAGAAATTCTGCCAACAGTGGTTTTGTCACAGGGTATGTCTAAAGGATTAAAGCACTCATCTGTAGCTGTTCATTCTGTCGTACCATCCATTCATCTGACAACGCAAATCCTTGAAATTGTTTGCACAGTAAGATGAAGATGTGATTTGATGTTGTGAGAGTAGTTTCTTGATGAATACATTGTGAAAGTCTGGAAACTGCAGTGGTGATAACTAAGTTCTCTAGAAAATCACTTTGTCTGTTCCTAGTCACAGTCAGACTTAAGAGCTCTATGGTAATGGACTGTTAGTATTTTTTAAGAAAAATTGTCTGAAGGTTGAACTGGTTGGTAATATAAATTGTCATTTCTGAAGAAATCGATCTTAGTGTTTTATCTCTTATTACAATAGAGGAGGAAACTTCTTTTTTGGCTACTTCTGTGGACATGAGGTATTACAATGACTTGCTGAGTCAGATTCCTGAGGAATACTTGTCTGTACCGTTACTGCTGAACTGCATGTTGGAACAGGTGGGAATATTCTCTTTATAATTTGTAGCTAATTCGGCTTAGACCTAGTATAATGATTTGATCAAAGATCAGTAAATCCAACTGTTTCAGCCGAAAATAAGAGACTGTGCATGGAGGCACTGACCAAGGAGGTTCAATACAGAAGAATCACAAGTCAGAAGTAGTATCTTTGTTTTTCTTTCGTATTGTGCGCTTACCCTGCATGTACAGTGATATTCCAAAATTATTTTTTCAAGACTACAGATCTGATATAATCAAATGAAGAAAAAGGTGTCATTTCTTAGCTGAATCAATAACAAATTTTTATGTTATGCAACAATGTTATTGATACTGAACTTTTACTGTTTTACTCAGTACAAAGGTCTTACAGCAAGCCTGACAAAAGTGGCATATACAGATGCTAGTGCTAGACAGATCTGACTTCTGTTGAGTTCAGGGATAATTTCTGAGTTAGCAGAGACCCACAGTATGATTTGGAAATCCTCCTTCTTTTACAAATAAAATTTCAGAACTATGTTATTTTAAAAATTTTTTCAATTTAGTCTGAAAATAGACTCAGGCAAAAATACTCAAAATAAGGTCCAGCACCTGATATGTAATCAGTTTTTTATTATGTGTTCATTAACAATTCATAACATTTGAAGTTGGAAATATTTTTCTTCTCATCCTTCCAAAAGTGAATAATAGGAGAAAACATTGAATTTTGTTTTCCATTATCTTTGTTTTGGGCAGGAACTAACACGGAGAATTGCATTTTTGCTACTTGTAGAAAAAAATTATGGTTTTCTTTCCTGACAGTATTTATGGATGTGTGTTTAGCTTGTAGCAGGATCTGCTTGGTAGTTTTAATGAAGTAAAACAGTAGATATACTGTAATGAAGCTAACATATGACCTTTTTGCCAGGTTATTGCAAGTGAAGAAGACCTTACACCGCCTAGTCTGGTGGTACCAGAGGCTCGAGCAGATGGGCTACATCATACCATTGCAGATCATATAGCCTCTGTCATTCCTTCTCTTTCACTGTCTGAGAGTGAAAAAAAGGTGTGTGTTGTCTTTTGTTCATTTCCTAAAATGAAAAATAAATCTGATTATTGGTGTTTAATACATCTTTCTTTTTTAACAGAATCTATATGAGTACTTTTCTCCTAAATACAGTGAAAAAAAGACTGTCATCCCCACGTATCCTCTGTTGTTTAACTACCATGATACCCTGACTCAACGGTTGCACCTGCTGAAGGTATAGTGCTACCTATCAACATAAACAGTTCTAAAGCCCACAGGCAGTGAATACTCAATGCACTAGAAAGGATGGAGTGGTGTTTTTACAAAGCAGGATGATATAGCCTAGAGTTTTCCTATTGAGACAGACACACTAACAGATGTTTAGTCTGCTTAAGAAGCAATGAGTTAGCGCTACTGATACAAGACACATCACAAATATAGAGCATTATATTGATTTCAGTGATCTGTTTGCAGTATTAATGAGAATGTTTAGCCTTTGGCACAGATGAGAAATATTACAGAACTCTATTGTCTTACTGTAGTCAAACACTGATGAAACTACAGCAAATGAGTTACTAACTTGATAATGGTGATTTAGCATTTAGACTGGATTAAATACTAAGATGCAGAGAAGTATAAGAAAAAATATAGAGGTGGTTAGTGAACACAAGAAGCATATTCAGGTTGGCTAAATAGTTGGAGCATAGTGTATAACCAAGACATTGCCAAATTGTAACAAAGGCAGAAAGGTTCAGAGACTGCAAAGTTTGGGATTATTGCAAAGTAACAGTTCCCAGACTTTCTGAACCAAAAAAACACTGTGAATTTCTCAAGTTTCTCGAAAGCCAAGGTGTAGCTTAACTGTTGAACTCTGAAAATACTCTGAAGGTAATACAAGTAATAATACAGTTCTAGATTTCACAGCTAAGGTGTTTCCGCCTGGCTTCATGGATTACAAATGGTCTGTGGAATACTTTGACAACCATTGATTAAAATGGTACTCAGAAACAACTCAAGCTTGACAGACTGGAGGTATTCAATCAGAAGGCAGGAATGAGTCATCATCAAGAGAGGTGCTCTTGGCAGGCGTGTGCTTGATGTATATAATGTACTTGCTGAAGAGGAAACTCAGGATATAACACAATGTTTGAGGAGTGGACAGAGGAAAAGGTTTTGCCAGATACAGTCCAAGAAAAAGGTACTGTGAGTGCGCAATACTAAAAAGAGCAAAGTTGGAAGATACCAATAACCCTCAAAAGATAAATCCTGAAATACATAGGGATGCTGCTGTCACAGACTGATCAATGAGTTTACAGACTGCATTACTATGAGAAGCAGCACGGACGAGCTGAAAGATAAGAGGCGGGTACTTGCTGCCTGTCTGAATAGATCAGTGCGTGTTTCTGTATTGCAGAATTTTTGAGTCTAACTAGCACAAGCAAAGATCTTCTAACAAGCATCTGTTATTATGCTGTCTGTTATTCTATTACTTATCTCATCTTTTCTGCCTGAAATATCTGACACCGTGATTCAAAAGCACACTGTGAGGACATACTCAGGTTTAAGCCTGTGTCCAGCTGACTTAAGCACATGCTTATGCCTTTTGCTATAAAAAGACTTCTTTATTCAAACATAATTTTTGTAAATCCACTGGTGTGAAAGTTTATTTTAACTCTGGTATTTTGGTTTTTGTTCCAGGTCCATGAGAACTTAAATCCAGAAAGGATTGAACATGATATGATGGATAAACTGCCTCTTACAGAACTTACCCATTTCACCCTTCCTTCAACTGAAAATAACACTAAACGCTTGGCCAGAGTTCATGAGCTCATGCATTATTGTACCAGTGGTAAAGTGATTTTCTTTTTCATTGATATAAATTCCTTTTTTTTCTTCTGGTTGATGACCCTATTAAATAGCAGGAATTTTGGGACAAGTTTTTTTAGCTGCCTAAAACCTTTTTGGAGAATTTCCCACTTTCACATTCTTGCTTATACCTTAGCCTACTATACAAATTAGGGTTAACTTTAGACCTCAGTTTCATGGCTAATGGGAAGGGCTATATGAGTATTAACTATTGCATGACTGAGAGCTGGAAGTATGTTAGAACTCATTTATTTATTTATATTCACGAACATGCAAATGCTTATGAAATCTGAGGGAGAAAAAAAAAGTGGTATAAATTGCTAATTTGATCCTAGGATGTAGAATGCATTCTGGGAGATGCTGACGTAAACTGTATATTTATTTACCAACACTCTTTTGATGGAGGACCAAGTGCATCTTGGGTAGAAGATTATTATTGGACAATAAATGGCTTTCAGAATGTATTCTATATAAGCTTTTGGTGTTAATAATGAGTGGCTTCTACAATAGTCCCTTTGTCAAACCAATATGTTCGCTTCTTCAACCATAATCACTTCTGCAGTTACCTTTCCTTGGAATGTGCATACCGCATGACATACACTGTGAAACAATCCCAAAGACTACATAAATACCCTTGGTTAGTTTCGAAAGTTTACTCTAGACTACTAAGAAATATAAATATCTAAACCCCTTTGGTTACGTTTATGCCATTGTATAAGGCACAGGATTTGAAGGTACTTTCCCAGCTATTCAGTCCTGAAATCCCTTGCGCTAGATTAATTTACACTCACTGCATTGTGTCTAGTTGTTGGTACGTTCATTTTGGACACTAAGCTATTAAGATATTCTGTATTGCTATAGCATTCCAGCTGATGGATATCAAATGTAGTGGTCTTCACTGGACCATACTATACTGCCAAACTCTCCCAGCTGTTAACTTAGCTAGCAATGTCTTCACTTTTATCAAGAAGGTGATTGATTTGAACAGGAGATGAGATATCCACCATTTTCAAGATGTGTGATATGCTTGGGTGCTTAAGTACTGTAAAGAGAAATCATTTCAGACTGAAGGTACTCTTTGTATGATTTGGGCACTGAACTAGCTGTCTTAAAATTCAGTCCTTCTCATGATGATCATTGTTATATGGACACCAATGCATACAACCATAAATAGGATTTATTATTGCCTTTGCATCTTGCATCCTTCTGTGTAAATTATGTGTCAAGGTTTGTTCTGAAGGGAAAAAAACATTTGGTACTTGGTTGGAGAAGCTACAGATAATAAAAAAGTTTATGATAATGGAAGCCTTTTCATGAACTGAAAATAACTAGTAGTTAACTGGTTTGATGAAGTCTACTCAGTATTTTAAAATCAACATAATTTATATAAAAGTTAATGATCCAGGAGTTATTCAGATGTAGGAAGCACTTCGTTTAAGATGGATAATAGTTAGGCATATCATTTTGCAATTTGGAAGCATTCAACTTTGAATACAGTGTAAAATGTAGCTCACATAATTTGATCCAATACCATTAAGGAAATTGTTGTTGGCTTTTGCAGAGTTGCCAAGAACAATACACTTACATAGTCTTCTATTTATCTTCTGCTGAGCCATAAGGACGTTTTCAGTTAATGACTGTAATTCTTTCATAGAACTTCTGAGTTGGGCTGAAGTAGAAAGAGCCTTCAGAGTGTTTACTTTTGAAAGCCTGAGTCTGACTGGGCTGAGTGACTCTGGTCTCCTGGAGAGCTCTGGATCTGTGGTTGGAGGTGATTCTGAAGTGTATTGTATCCCTTGGGATAATCCAGCCGAGTTTGCAAGACAGCTGAGACAACTCTTCCTTATGGAAAAGAAGCTTAATGGGAAATCTGCAAGAGGCTCTGGTAAAAACCTCTCTGTTTACATTACTCCTGAAGAGTTTGAATCCACTATTTATTTTACCATATCATTTGCAATCACATGGCTTTTTCTTCCTTGTACAAATCATCAAATTTTCAACTATTATGTAGTCTTTACATGGAGCATCTATGCAGGAATACTAGATAAAGACAAAGGCCAGCTATTTTGTAGGACAACATTAAGAGTTTATTTAAGCAACTCTTTAAAATGGTACCTGTAGAAAAATATGTACTAGAAAACTGTTTTGTTGCGTATCACATCAAATATATTTTATAGACATAAAATACTGAAGACGTTGTTAAATACCTTTCTGAGTACAGGCATTTGTGAGTTATGATGGCAGTTGAATCTTCACAAAGTCAGTAGCAACCACAGAGTGAAATCAAAAGTGATGTATGAGGTTAATTAGATGATTACTAGTGAATTGGTATTAGGAAATGCAGAGAATATATAACTTACACATGAGGACTCTAGAAGGTGATATAAAAAGTTGAAAATTAAAAAAAAAAGGTGTGCTATACACTGTAATTACATATGCATGCACACCTTTGCCTTTTAATTTATTTTTTTTTCCAAGCTTCCCTCTTCTTTCATGTACAGGTTAATCCAGCATAGAGTTTTGACAGTCAAAATTTTGGGCCAAATTCAGAAGTAGTGGCAAAAGAGGAACATATCTGTTAGGTGTTGAAGAAAGCAAGGCCAATGAAAAGAAATCAGAATAAGGCTAGCATGGTAGAACTGATGTCATAAGGTAGAAGTTTAAACATACAGTTTTCATCGTCATGTTAGACTCTCTCTGTATTTGGCCAGAAATATGTGAAGACCCTCAAGTTAAAATCATAAAGAATGTGTGAGCTATGTTTCAACTTCATCAGCTTCTCTCACTTCATTTCTAGTCAGTGCAATTTTAGCAGCTTACTGTGTGGCTTTTGAGCCTTTATAACTTTCTCATTCATATTAGGATGGAAACATTTTAAAGAGCAGGGACAGAGATGGAGGACACCTCTAGTAAGCAATGCAGAGTCAGTTTTCTGAAAGTTCTACGTTTTCTCCTGCAGATTCTAACATAATGAGGAGTTGGCCTGAATAAAGGAGCAGTGTTGGCCAAGAGGCAACATTAAAAGCAAGGGATTATTTTTCTGGGATACAAGAAAAGTAGAAATTAGGTCAGTTTAAACAGCTATACCTTTAGGTTCATGATGTTGCCCCTGCTTTCTTAATACAGATGTCTAGGCAACCAGCTTAGATGGGATCCTTTCCTTAGAAGGCTGGAGCAGACAAAAATGAAATCCTGCTTATCTTCCTCTCTTCTGAATTTTGGGAACCTTTTTTGGGTGTTAGTTTATTTTATGCTAGTCACAATGCTAAATTTTGCAGTTAAAACAAAGCCTCCAACATGTCAACACTTCCACAGCAGAAAAGCAAATACCAGGAAGAGAAAACACTTGCTTTCAGATTTCTTAAATCTAAGGCAGTCAATAAACAGGTCTAATATTGTAGAGAAGCAGAGCCTAAAGTATACGTCTGGAAGGTGAGCTGGTTGTAAACCACTTATAAACAAATACTTTCTGGAGTATTTTCTCCCAGAAAGAGTATTTTTCTTGTATGTGTGAATTTTAACCAAATATTAGTGGTCTCTACCCTGAATTAGGGCATAAAGAATCCTGTTAAAAGGAAATTATGTCAAAAAATAGTGAGAGTATAGAAGTTAAAGCCTCCATGTTCATACCAGTCTCCTGTTCATATCAGGTGCCCATTGTAACAATGGAACGATTGGTCAGATCCTCAGCAGAAGTAATATTCTGTCAGTAGCTTATACAATTCTATAAATCCAATGTATTTAAAGTTTAAAATTTGCATTTTTCAAAATATGTGAGAATATCAAAACAGTTGATTTTGCGTTCTTTTTTATGTCATCTGTGCAAAGGAACGCTTCTTACTGTTTCTCAATACATAGAAAAATGTTTCTTCATGTATGAATCTGGAGGACACTGCATAGAGTATTTTTAATGGTTTTGACCATGCAAGGCCAGCATAGGACAGATAAAGAGGAAGAGCTGAGTGGGTCTTATAAATGTTCTTTTTTATATATTATTTAATTGTCTGGCACTTGTTGTCCCTGGATTTTAAAGTCCTCTTTTAGGAAAGAAGTGTAGCAGAGCTGATCAGATATTTATAGGACTAGTGTCAGAAAAGGAATCTTCAACCTGATGGCAGTTTCATCAGGGAGGCTAAGGAAATTGCATCCCTCTGACCTTAGTGTATAGGACTGAAATTTCTGGAACACTTCTTAAAATTCTGCTTTCAATTTCCAGGACATACAGAAACGAGTAACAAAGATGGAGAAGTTGGTCTGGCTGATCCTGTTTTGAACAAAGAATTGGATCTTCTTATTTCTGATATGGCAAATGTGAGGAATGGAATAAACTGTGCTCTATAGCATGAGACAACAGAAGACGCTGTTCAGTGCCAGGACATGTTACTGGGGATTCCTTTGCAATGCTGCGTGCAAATGTTATTTTTGTGATGTTTGGCAAATAGTCCCATAACTCTTAAGCACTATGAATTAATTTTTTTTTTTAAGTCTAAGGTGATGGGTCTTGGTGAAGCTACTAAGGACAATTCTATGCTGGTTTCACTGAATACCGGGGGTCAAATACTAGCATGAAAGTTTGAGAGAAATTGCCAAACTGTGTCACACTAATAAACTGTGTAGTTTGGCATCTTCAGAAACACCTGCCTGGCATGCTGCACAGTATGGCAGTTTCAAAATTATTTCATAGGACAGGTTTAAATATTCATAATTGCTTACAGAACTCAGAAACATATAACCTAATAATAAAAATATTTAGATTATGTTTGCCATTAAAAAAACCAAGACAAAAAACCTTTGGGAGTAATTGTCTTTTTTCTTAAATAGCGCCATACGAGTCTACACATGTGCAGCATTATGCAATTGGCTGTGATGCAACATGGGATGCTGTCTATTAAGGCAACAAGATTACTGTTAATTTAATACAAATGGCACTGAAATGTTGATATTCATTACCTTGTTTTGGTGTATTTTGAGGTGAGTCCGGAAAATTACGGCCTAGGACCAGACTTAGAAGAAATAAAAAAAACACAGAGGCGTTGTTTGACAGATTGGAGTTTCTCTGAGCATTTTCAGCCCCATGTTCTTCTTCAGGTATCTGTGAACTGATGATCTTTTATCCCTCAGAATGCTCTGCAAAGAATTAGTAACAGAGTCAGGGTATTTCCTTGCTGGATAAGTGATCCAGTTTTATCCCTTTTACATTATTAGCAAATCCCATTGTTGTTTAGCTGCTTTTCAGTTTCTTGTGTGAAATTTAGCTTGCAATGAGTTTTTATTTCCTGGTTTGGCCAAACTGCAGCAGTCCTTTTAGGTAGTGAGTCTTTTAGCCAAACGTGTGTGAGACAAAATGATCACCCATAAGGGTGACCCTCCCTGGTGGTTATGGGCCTCGTTAGTGCAGTGTATGTGAAAGCATAGTTTGCAAATACCTATGCAGCGTATGTTTTATGGACAAATAGAAAATTATTGTAATCGTACTTCACACTTTCAGGGCTACAAGCTTCATTTATAGAAATCTTGCAAGCTAAAGACTAAAACTCATCTTGCAGAAAGACAGAACGACAAATGTGCAAGATAAGCTCAAGTGTAGATGGCTTAAGTTAGTAGGCATTCTGTTGAGAGGAGAGGATCATTAGTTCCTGTGCTGCCTTGAGCATCATTTACTGCAGTTCTTACTTGATCCTGACATGTGCTATACATGGGTGAAGGAAAGGCTGCTTGGACTTTTTCAGCAGCACTTTAACATCACAAATTTAAAGTCCAGTCGTGCATTTCAGTGCATGGGGAATTCCTTCTTATGCAACATAAACAGCTAATACTAACTGAACTGTCAATGATTAGTGAATCTAGTCAAAAGATACTGGTGGAAAATAAGTGCAACAGAAAATAACATTTTACTGCAACAAAAAATAACGTTTTGTAAGGATATTTACTTACTTCCTTATATTGCATGTCACATCTGAACATAATTTTTCCATCAGCTGATATTAAGGTTTTCATGTTTAAAGAGAATATTTGTTGATATGAAATTATTTCAGTTTTACTTCAGTTGCATAGTTCTGTAAAAATAATAGTTTAAAAGAAGACTTTCTTCTAGCTATAAAATAAGTTTCAGCCTGCAGACAATGTAAACATCGACGGGGCAGTACAGAACAGCCTGGAATAATGTAGAGCACAGTGTATCTCAGGGATGTGCAGAGCATAGTATAGCAAAATGAATACCAAGTAAAATTAACTGATTTGAAAAAAAGTAAATTGGTTTCTTTATACCTGGTGTATGACAGTTCTGCTTTTATTTACTGTTTATATGTTTAAATTCTTTATTACTTAAATTTGTTTATTTAATATTTAAATTTATCTGTTTATTACTTAGCTGAACTTTTTCATTCATGGTCAGTCTCAGAAGGTGGAGCATGGTGACTGCCTCTTCTCAGTATGAACAGACATGGAGTTTCAATTTCCACCTGCCTGAACACTTCATATTGCTGGAATCCAAGCACTGCATACATTTTGTAGAAGAGTGAAATTTTGAAGCACCTTTTGCTAAAAACTGTGCTGTGTAGCATCTGTACATATGCTACTGTCTGCAGGGAGGACATACCATTATTTCTTTCCTTTTCAGGTTCTTCATAGTGCATCCCAAGAATACAGATGTGTTGATTCCTTTTATCATACTCCAGATAACTCTCTGCTAGTGGTTCTTCACAATCCTATGAATCAATATCGTTTGTGCCAAGAGACTTGGGATACTGCATTGCACTCTAACGTGGGATTCAGGTAACTGATTTTGTCTTTCATGTCTCATTCAGAGTAACTTTCAATTAAAGCCTGCATGGCTATGCTTGGGGCAAAGCTTGAAATTAAAATATACTGTGATGTAACAGATTTCTGAGAAAGCAAGTTGCACAGGTGGAAAACAGTGCTATATCAAAAGAATTCTGCTGAGACAAAGCTTTTCCAAGTGAGAACCATGCAGTAACTGTATGTGACTCCTTATCACAAACCATAAATATACAGATGATGCACACATACTCACAAAGTCGTATTAGGGATAGGGGCATCAAGAAAATTATGTTGAGGACACTTAGGTGAGGGAAGTTAAAACAAAATTCTGTCTAAGAATATAATTATCAGGTTTTTCAGCTATGCTCACATAAATAAGGTGTGTGTCATTGGGAAAATTTTTTGAGAAAACCTAGAAGCCCTTTACTAATATTAGAATAATTTTTTCACAGAATGCCATATTCTTCTTAATGTCTTGTCACTGTCTACTTACCAGTTAGAGGTATGCAGGTGGTTGACATGTCCACTATTAGAGCTTTTGTCGGTAGACCGATCCATTTTGAAATACATTTTTGCGCTGAAACAGCGATGTAAATGATCATGTGTATCCCAACTGCTATTCCAAATAATTGACCAAAAATAGAATATATGTCCATGTACTGTTATGTAAAGAAGCTACAATGCCATGGAGAGACAGCTGAACTATGTTTAACCATGTCACTCTGGTGTTCTATGGATTAATTAGATTTGATTTGCCAAATAGAATTTCAAGCAAATTATCCAATGGACAACCCGCCTCCCCCTCCAATTTGCAAACATCGCTGTCTAAGTGCAGTGCCTCATTTATCAGAATATGGGAATCTTTTAATAGCAACTTTCATTGCTACCTGTGTATTTCAATAGGTTTGAATGCTAAATAGGCAAAGTGTGCCTACCTGAAGACATATTTTGTATTATATTTTGTAACTTTGCTCTCAGTCAAGGAACTCCGCATGAGTCCATCTCAGCTTTCCAGGCACTTGGACTGAAATTATTTGCCACAAAAAGAGGCTGTTGTGATTGGCTGTGACTGGGACCAGAGCCAGAAGAGATTTACCAGCAGAAACACAAAGTTCCTTGGAGAGAATGCTGGCTGTTTTGTGATGGTTGGGGAAATCCACAAATGTCTGGTCAATCAATTTTTGCATGTATATAACAGCTGAAATCTTCCCCAAAAGATAGTGAAATATGGTGTATTCAAGTAAACCTGGGTCTTGCACTCAGATAGACCCAGGCAGAGGGTCAGTGGTCTCGGATTCTGTTACACAAAAGTCTATTGGAGCCCAGAGCTGTTTGCTTTGCCAGCTATTCTTACCCTCTTTTGGGGCACTGGACATTAAGGGCCTGATTCAAGTTGCTTAAACATAAACACGTGGTGCTGGTTTAGCCGCCTGGTGTGTCCAAGGTGTCTGCACAGGGCTGACACATACGATGTGCGACCCATAGGAGACACATACTCTTGGAACAGACACTGGAGACCAGGTCACATACCCTAGTACATCTAACATGTCACTTGGTGTTTACATACGGTGAGTAACACCTCATCCCAATGGCATATTGTTGTTGTATTGTCTGTAGGAGCCAATAGTGAGGAACTAGACCTGCTTAGGAAGCATTTCTCCTTGAAACAGCAATTCTTCATCTGTGGGGTCCTAGAACAATTTGGCTGGTCACTTTGAAAGGGCATTGAAACAGTTCGAGGCTGACTGAGAAATGGGAAGAGTTCTTCGTACCTGCAAAATAGAAGTTGCTAATTTTGCATCCGAAGAAGGAATGAAGCATGGTCTCTGGTAGATGCATTATAATTCAGTTGAAGATGGAATAGCTACATGCTTCCTCCTTCTTACAATTCCACATACAATGGAAACAACGCTTAGACATAAAAGATAGCTACTGCTTGGGGTATACCATCTTTGTTCAGTCACACTTCATCGGGTTCCACTTCAAAGCGGCAAGGAGTTCCTAAAGAAACTGGCATGAAAGCTAACAAGGTTTGGCTTTGCTCTTGTTTCATGGAAACACATCACTGCTATGTATGCTACTTAGTATCCTTGAAAAGCTATGGGCTCTCATTTGTTTCTGTTATGTGGCATCTATACCTGCCTTTTTTCTGCAACATTATCAGCACGTTTTCTGACCTTATTCAACCTTTTTGCTAAAGATAATTATGATTTCCAGACAAAGTATCATAAATATTTGCTAGCATGTGTTTCCAAGCAACACCACTTCTGTGGAAGACAGTCTTTAAATACCTGGAGTACTTGAAGCTGTTGCCTGCATTAGCTTCCAGATCCTGCTGAGCTGCCAGAAACAGGCACAAACCTGCTTATTAGCTGAGCAGTAGTATTACAAGTTTTTACCTTTGTATGAAATAACTGGCTCCTGATGAGTTTAGTAACAATTTATTGATTTTCGTTTTATTAAAATTACTGTCATTCTAATTTTGGGGGTATATTTAAGAGCCACAGTTTCACCACAGATGAGTTACAAATACACAGCAGACACTGTGCTTGACTATCTCTGTTAGGAGTTCTCTACCTGTATTTACTTGTTACTTCTTCATTGTGACATCTTACAGGCCACAGACCCACTTTGTAGGGTGGTTTTGTAATTGCTGTCTGGAATATACTTCTGTTACCTGCTAATCAGTTGGTTACAGTGGGTCCTGTTACAAATTCTTGTGCAATGGGGAAATTAAATTTCTTATGTTGCAGCAGCTTTTGCTCCTGGAAATCCCAGTTGCCCTTCGTTCCTCCTTGTGGATATCAGGTCCCATAGTTCATGTAGAACATCCAAAAATTCAAGTATTGTGCGGTTGAAAGGGTAGGCAGCAGGAGGCTGTGTGTGAAATCCAATGGATACTACTGACTGAGGGGATCTAAAGCACATGTACCTGCAGTGATACATGTGTATAAAACATTTCAACTCTGATTAGGATGAGTGGCCACTCTTATCAGGAAGCCAAATGAATTCAGACATTACAAAAACTATTCATTTGCTCAAAGTTAATCTGAATGACATTTGCTTACTGTTACATAGTAAACACATTACACAAGTTACTGGAAAAGAATAATCCTTTCTGAGAAATGATTCTGAGTCAGACAGTGACAGTAGTGACATCAGAATACATATTAATAGAATGTGTATTTTTGACTTCGAATGACTGTTTCATTGCCCTAAAATATTTTCCACATGAATAATCTCTTTTTTTATTTATAATGTGTATTTATCTTCAAGTTATTCCAGTACTGGCAACTCTAGGTTCCAGCCTAGTTTTGCCTTTTGTTTTCAACACCTTTGTTTTTATAGCTTGTATACTTTTCTTCAAGTACAAGCAGAGTCACCTTGTCCCTACCGAGTGATATGATCAACAGTGATATATGATCAACAGTTTCTCCATGCAAGTTTCCCAAAGCAGGCTCCACTTACACTGCAGGAGCTAGGAGAGACTTTGCCTATCCTTAAGCTGTACATGAACTGTATACGTATCCAGTCTGTGTAGATAGTCTACATAGTGATTCTCTTGGATGTAGAATGTAATGCTGCAATAAGAACTTTAAAACTGTCATGAGGTCAAGAATTGGTTGTGCTGTCTACATGTTCACAGCCAAAACCGTAATGCATACAGAGCTTTTCAATACAATTGAATCAGCTTGAACTTAGAAATGCGAAACATTATGAAGATACAACAGCTGGATCTCATACATTCTGTAAAAGCCCCTTTTACTTTAGCATACGTGAAGAATTTTACTTTAAAGAATTATGGCAGCACTCGAAACAAGGGATGGAGTGGCAATTGCATGTAAGACTTTGAGGCTTCGTCCTATCTTGGAAGCAGTTTTTCACAATGAACTATGGAAGATGAGACAATGCAACTACCAATACCAGCTGCAAACTCTGGATCAGTTTGTCATTCAGTGCTCACTTCAGCTGTTAATTGTGAATATTCTTGATTTGCACCAGGCTACAGTACACTGATTCTCTAATCTGGATTTGGATTTGGATCAATTTCCAAGCACCTTTCTTGTCACACTGGTGAAGAAGAGCTAGAAATTAAATGGAATAGCACCTCCTCAGTTGCCGAACAAATGGAGTGTATTCTAAAAGACAATACAAATCAAAAGAAACTAAGAAAACAAGTTATCCTTGTGGTAAACAGTGAGGAGGAGAAGTAGTCTCAACCTTTCTTAAACTGAATGTCTCTAGGCTTTGTGACTTTCTGGATTTTCTTTGAGGGCAGGCATTCTTTGAAAGACAATTTTCTAATATCTCTGCAGAAGGGAGGACCAAAATCACAAATGTAAGACATATTAAGTAAATACCAGCCAGGCAAAAGTACGAGCTCCTCTAAAAACTGAGCGAAACCAGGTCAAATGCAAGCCTTCTGTCCAAGGTTATAGAACAATATTTGTAGAAGAAACTGAGAAGTCAAGTGATCTTACTTGACCTGAAATCATATTAGTGAAAACTGTATTATGTTAAATAGAAAGATGTTGTGCTTTTCAGGAACTATCTTGAGCTGGTGGCAAACTCAGTTGAAGACTGGGTGAAAGAGGAGGAAGTCAAATACCAAGAAGAGAAGATGGCTAGGGAAGCAGGATCGCTTAAACTGCAAAAAGCCATGCCAGAAGGACCGTTTGAATTGTCTACATGTGCTGTCAAAAAAACTGACTTCCTGAAGAAAGCCAAAAGTAGGTATCTTTGCTTTATCCTAGAAAACTCATTTTACATGTTAAGTACTGAGACCCAAAGTTGTTCAGAGCAGAATTGCATGTATTTTTTCATAGGCTTGTTTGTCGTCTGTATAGACATAAATATGTTTTGAAATGAACTAAATACACCTATTTAAATATTGTGCATCATCCTCTGTTCTGAAAACTGAGACCTTTAATGTCAATTCATATTTACAATAGCTGTATTTATTTAATGGAATTACTTTAAGGTTTACATACAATTATGAATCTCTGTTTAGATGACTGAACACAGGAAGAGGTGGGCAGTAGTTAAAGTTGGCAACACAGTTGAGGAAAATTCCTTTTTGAAAGGGCAGGATAAAAGCTGGAAGTCAGAAGCTGTGGGCTAGAAGCTTAAACCGGAAGCTGAAATTGACTAGATTGACGAGCAAACTTGAATTACAAGCAACATTTTGGATGGTGAAAATTGTAAGCAGTTCATATAGTGACTGTTGAGCAGGCAGCAAAATCTGAAATCCGCTTTTGACAAAGGAGAACTTTTGTTCAAATTGTCTCTTTGCGTATTTAAATGGTATTTAAAATGACTTGTTGATATTTAGCCTTTGCTTTGTTCAGCTTCTTTGGGAATGCACTTTGAAACCTTCTAGTGCTAGCAATTAGCATTTACAAAAATCGGAATGTTATTCCTCACCCAATTAACACGTCTGATTGTAGTTTGGAAACTGAAAGGATAGTTATGACTTCTAAATCATAATTTTTATGTAACTAGCTGTCACAGGAGCTAGATTGAGTCTTACCTATCTGGTGCCTCACAACAGATATGATTCATAGAAAAGTTCACTTGCTGAAAGAAGATAATCACCTCTAGCTGGGACGTGCAGATGGGCAGCAGTGTCTTTAGGGGATTTCACTGGCACTGCTGTAACCCACACTGCAATTTTTACTTTTTAATATTAAGTAATTTAACTAGAAGTTTCTGATAGCGTACTTTAATTTATCTTTTCTAGCAGGTAAATGTTGGATATCCAAGCGTGATATAAAATCACCCATCTAGAGAGATACCCTTTTCATGAGTCATAGGTGCTATAAAGGCCTAATAGTAAACAGGGGATATGGTAAGTATTTCTTTAGCGAAGGCTTGAAGGTTCAGACATCATTTATTCACTTTTTTGACTTGAAAGGTTGTAATATCTATATTGGTACCGAGCTTGTTCTGGCATTTGGTGAGCTGGTTGAAGCAGTGGATCCGAGTTCTGGAACAGTGGTAGTAGCAAAAATAACAAATACCGCCTACTATTTATTCAGTATTGCTTATCTGTATATTAAAAAAAAAAACCACCTTATTGCAGGAGCAACAATAGGAAGAAGCAGAGAGTCAGTCTTTAAATATGTTGATATATTGTTTAGCATATTTGGTCCCCAGTTCTGAGTATCAAGTAATACTAGTTGTCAGATAAGTTTTCTTCTAACCTGAGCAGTCTTTCTTTTTTATCTCTAAAAATATTTAACATTTCCTTTATTCTGCTTTTATACTTTTCCTATTTACAAATATATTTTTTATTTACTTGCATTTCTTTTATTTTTATTTTTCCATTTTTTAAGATCATTTGATTTTCATACATTTAAAATCTCATTTGTTCCCCTTTCATTTCTCAAAGGCAGCACATCAGGACCTGAGAGCATAATGCAGACTATCCCAGAATCTCAATCTAACAATGAAAAAAGTCCTTTTATCAGAGAAGGTTCTCTAAAGGTGAGGCAAAAATACGTATGTTTCTGAAATGGACTAAAGAACACTGCTTTCCCGTTCTTACATAGACTTGACTTGGTCCTTTTAGTTTTTTCTGCTCTTGGCTATTTTTATATACTTTATTTCTTGTTTTCTTTAATGTATTTCTTATCAATTCAGTTATGTTGTTTTCTTAGTGAAAACTGTTTGGTTTTTGACGAGGCATTCCAAAAGCAATTCATAATTATAGTACTAGGAAGTGAGAGTTATGGATAATAACCTATTTCTTATTGAAGTTTTCTGGTTATAAAGCTATGAAAACATAAGATCCAGATTCATGGAAGTACTTACGTACCCAACTTCTGCTTTCACTGTCTACATCTCTTTGAAATTAAGGAAAGTAAATATGGTACCTGAGAGTTCCCTTACGACAGAGAATCCCATTTTATAGATCTAGACTGTGGTCATGCACTGCAGATGAATTGACTTGCCTAGGTTCACACAGTAAGTTTCTGGCTGAGATCGGACTTAAGCACACATAAGGCAGAAGTCTTAGCATTGGCACTGTCCATTACTTTGCACAAATCTAGCTTAATTGATGTTGTACTCCCCTGCTTTTTTTGACTCCTTACAGCCATAGTATGTCTCCTCTTTCTTATAATGTGTAATGCTCTGCACTTAAGGTACTGATATTGGAGTGTAGATATCAAATGGTGTTAACAAATTCCTGGGTACTCAACTTCAGCTGGCACTGCTCAAGTTAGGCTAATGCCTAACTTGTAACTGTGAATGCTTACCCTTTCTTCCACAGAAATGCTTGTGCTTTGGCATGCTTAGAATATAAAATGCTACAAAGCCCTGAATACTCTGTAAAATCTCAGGTGTCTCTTGTTGTCTTCCTAATATAAGTTGGTAATTGGCATTGATACCTCATTTGTCTTTCTGTAAAAGAATAAAATCATTTTATCTCACAGTTGCATTTCTGGAATAAACTAATACCAGTGATGTATTCTGATTTGGTGATAAACATTGTGGAAAAGTGCACAACAAAATAATTCTTCTATGACTGAATGTGTAAGATAAATAAACATCTGATACGTCTCCTGTGGTCAAGAATTACTGATCCTCTGGATTGAATTGAGTCAGTAATTTTATGCAAAATATAGCATGTAATATTGTAAAACTGTAGACATGTTTGGAAAGTGTGTGAGTGGCTTAGAACATTGGTTCCTTTGAGTTTGTTTACTTGTACTCTTTTCAGCATGCACATATGAAATACAAAAAGAACCACAGTCGTTTGAATTCCTAACATTTAATGCAGGCTTGGAAGGCGGAGCAGGACCGATTACTAGAGGAAGAACAACTCAAGCAAGAAAAAAAAGGTAAAAAAGAAAATTTGGGAGATAAAAAGAAGGAACAGGAGGTAATAATACATGAAGAAAGTAAAAGTTCCAATAAGAAATCTTCCAAAGAGAAGTTTAACGATGAGCCAGCAAAAGCCCCTGAACTTCAGGAGGATCCCAGCATCCCAGAACCACATTCTGAGAAAGTTTATAAGGTAAGGAATCATATTATTGCACCACTTTAGGGACGTGCTAACTATTTGTACATAAAGATCACAGCAAGCTATTATCCATTGTGAAATTGGAGTTCAAGGCAAATTAAGCTTAACTAGGTCTTGTTTAACGCCATCATTTTAGCAGCAGATCAATTTATCCTTTCCTAAAAGTTTTGGAAAGCAGTTTCCAGTGTTTAAGATTATCCTTACACAAGACTATTTAATTAATTTGGATGATTGTTAGTGTATATGAGATGAATACAAAGATAAGTTGGTCATGGTTTTGTGCTCATGGAAAATACATTTATGGGATGAATTTTGCCTAAAAATGTGATTTTTGTGGGAGAGAATAGGAAAGGGGAACATAAAGACCTGTTCCAACTCCTGTGTTCAGGGACTGCTAGACCTAGTTGAAATTTGCACTGTCCACATTCAAAATCGAGTAAAAGGAGTTCATTCTTTATTCCATTTCCTGTTTCAAAATTCGTGTTCTTGGAGTGCCCTAATACAAGGTATTCTGACTGTTACACTAACAGGGGGATATTTCTTACAGAGGGAACTCTTAACTAGTTGTGTCCAAACAGTTTTTAGGCAGTTTGCGCTGTCTTATATTTGTAGAGCCTAAGCTTTGCATCCAAAACTTGCATAGGTCAATATATTTTAGTCTAAACTTGCTTGAGTACAGACTTCAAACTCAGAGATATGCAACATTTCAGTCTGAACTTTCTTGAGTACACTCATCTATTTTTTCCAGTTTGTGGCTCTTTGGAAGGCATAGCAGTCTAAGAATCAGATTTGCATTGTCTGAATTCCATAATCTAGGGGAAGGAAAGCTGAATCTCTATCTGCCCTTTACCTCATCACATAACATTGTACTTTGTCTCTTTGTGCTTGGCCAGAATTTTTCTTTCCTTCCCAATATATGTTAAGCCACCAGTCTACTTGCTACTCTTCGGTTTCCATGATGGCTGCATACCACTGAAGGACCAGATTCTGCTCTCATGTGTAACATGTTACTTCAGTTAGTAACTGAGAAATTATTTGGATATGAGAATAACATGCTATGTGTTTGCTGAAGCTCTTACTACATTAGTTAAATATCTAAGCAAAAATGTTGACCAGAACAGTGGGATCCTGTCCTTCATTTGCTCTTGGATGGCTTCTGCCTTTCTCATTTATGCATAATCTAAAAATTGTTTTTCCAGTTTGTTGGCTACAATACAGGGGAGGGTCTCATTCAAGTATCAGGAACCAATCAATACCTTTTTCCATCTGATGGAGGACAGATTCAAGTAGAGAAGATAGAGTTTGTAAAAGGTAATTCTTTAATTCTTTATGCTTTGCTTTGACTCAGTTACTAACCCATGGCATAGTTTCTTAATCCAGAAATGCTTTTTCATGTCTCAGTAGTAGAAATTCAGTTAAAGACATTGTGAGATTCTATATTAGCCACTATCACTACTAATGTTTACATTTTCACAGAAGCACAGAATGATTTGGTTTGCAAGGGACCTTATAGATCATCTAGTTCCAATCTCCCTGCCACGGGGAATGTCACCTTTGGCTAGACTAGGTTGCTCAAAGCCCCATCCAACCTGGCCTTGAACACTTCCAGGCAGGGGACATCCACAACTTCTCTAGGCAGCCTGTTCCAGTGCCTCACTACCCTCATAGTGAAGAATTTCCTCCTTATGTCCAATCTAAACCTACCCTCTTTCAGTTTAAAACCATTACCCCTTGTCCTATTGCTCCATGCCTTTGTGAGAAGTTCCTCTCCAGCTTTCTTGTAGGTCCCCTTCAGGTACTGGAAGGCTGCTATAACATCTCCCCAGAGCCTTCTCTTCTCCAGGCTGAACAACCCCAACTCTCTGAGCCTTTCCTCATAGGAGAGGTGTTCCAGCCCTCTGCTCATTTTTGTGGCCCTCCTCTGGACCCACTCCAACAGGTCCATGTCTTTGCTGTGCTGAGGGCTCCAGAGCTGGATGCGGTACTCCAGGTACATGTTGCTGAGGGTGCACTAAATCCTGTAGTATGATAATAACTGATAGGTAAATAAAGTGTCATAAAGTCAGAAATGGAGAAAAATCAATTCATATTTGTCTATTCAATGGCAGTCAATGCATGATATTCCAAGAATGTATATTCCGATAATTTGTCCAGTCAAATGCAATATATCTAAGCAACAGCGTTATTCTGCAGCCTCTCAGATCTAATAGTCAGGAAGTTTTTGAATATTTAGTCTAAGCTCAGCTAACCTTAATTTTGTCATCTTCATATACTACCAAGCAATTCAGTCTACTTCTGAGAAATTTTCTTTTTTGTGTGCTTCATAGTTGCAGATGCAGAATTTTTTGGGGTGCGGGGCAGTTCTGAAGCCTGGTGGGGGCAATAATCGTATTCCATTGCTTTGCAGGTCTAACTTTGGTAAAAGTGAAAGTGATAAAAGACAACCACAATTTCTTCATTCATATCACAGACCCCAAGAAAAACTTAAAAGATATAAAAGTGCAAGAAATTAATGAAGAACAGAAAATTATATCAGGTTAGTGGATTGACATCACTGATATAAAGAATTAATAGCTTGGCATATTTAGTGACTGGATGCAAACCTTATCAACTAGCAGAAAATAAATTCCTACTAGTGGCAGAGGGTAAATAAGTTCAGTGTTCTGTAAATAGAAGTAAAAATCCAGTTGGCTGACTTAAGTACCCATGTGGAGAGATCTTACCAAGACATAGAAGTACAGTATAGGTCAACAGCTGCAAAACCATCTCTCTTCCAAAGCAAGGAAATCAATGAGAAGAGTTACTATTCCTTAAGAAAAGCATTTTCTTTAGTGGACGACTCCTTCAGATCTTAATGTGGCCTTGGGAAAACCTAAGAAGATGCAAACTGAATCATCCCCATTGTGACCAGAATAAATGTCTGCACTTTGAAAGGGAGAATTTCCCACTTTGAACTGGACCTCCTTTTGTGGGTCAGATGACCATAGCGTTAGTGCCTCCTCAGAACCTTTGCTGTGGAAACAGAGCTTTCTGCAGTTCAGCAACTTCTGCTGCTCGTTGACATGTTGCTAACACTCAGCATTGAATCCAAATCCTTTCTGAACCCAGGTGAGATTGCTTCCAAGAAGGAAGCCAGTCTGTAACAATTTGTGTGTATATTTGCCCAAAGCACTATGGAATTGCTCTCACTGAACTGAAGAGTGTTGGAAAGTATAACTTTTGGTAGTTGTGTTAGCTCTTTTAATCTCCATCAGTGTTAGAAAGCATCCTGCTCCTCTCCTTGGCTTCAGCTGCCACCAGTGATGTAATTGTAGGTTGGCTGAACAGAAAATTTCATCCCTTCCGTAGATGAGATGTTTCTTGTCTGCCCTTCTGGGAGTAGTCCTGTATCATTATACATCTATCGTATCCTGCCAAATGGTACTTTCAGTCACCAGTGTGCTAGCATCTGAGGCAAATTGTATTCAGTTGGCACGAGTGAGAGGCTTTCCACCTGTGTAAACAGGAGTATCTTACAGAAAGGCAGCAGGGAAGAGAAGAATCAATCCACTCTGATACTTGGCAGTGGCTGAATGGTACAATGGTAAGCTTTTAATGCAGTCAAAATGGCCAAACGGCATCCTGCAGGTGGTAGTTGCCAATGAACATTGCAATGACAGATGATAAATAGGAGCAGACGAAGTCTCAGGATGTGTGCCTTGTTGACTGAAGAACTGGGAGATGGCTAGGTGTTTGGTGCCTACCCTAACCTTCTGTTGTGGTCTTCTCTGCTGCTTCTTTCAGTTTTAAGAAGCTGTTTCCTATACTGGAAATCCCAAGGATTTCCTCTTACCAGCAGAACGTTTCTTTAAGGCAGTAGGAGTTGAACTAGAGGCAAGGTAGGATCCAGTGTCAGTGTCTCAGAGGTGTTACCTTCCATAGTTCATGTGTTTCTGAAGGATGACGTACTTATCACATGACATCTTGTCCTGCGCCTCGAAGTGAGCTTGTCCACAGATTACTGATCCACTTTCAGAAATGGCAGACAAATCTTTAGGTCTGATTTCTCAACTTTTTCTCCTTTCTTTTACTTTCTCCTCGAGGTATGGTGACAATATCTGAGAGTTGGTTTATTAGTGCATAGGCCACATGTGATAGAAATGACCAGTTTGGCATTCTTGTCAGCCAAGTAGGGAACAGAAACAAGGATCCTTGACTCTAGAACTAGGTTCATGTGCTGTTGAAATTCACAAAGAATTTTCACTAGTCGTTGCTATAAACCTGTTTTTACACGCCTAGTTAATTAGAATGCAGTTTCTAGATGAAAAATCACAGCTGTATTACACAAACTGACTAGTATGCACTACCCTATGAATGGAATGATAAAGTTTTCCTTGTCTTATGTTAATCTATTTTACAGATTAGTCATCCACATTGAGGTGCCACTGTTTACACCAGTCATTGGTGTGCAGGTCAGGTGGTTCTGGTATGTGTTGCTATATTTAAAATTCATTCTAATTTGTTTTAAAGGAAAATTGAAAAATCAGAAGAAAGCTGTGAGCAAGTTTGGATCTTTTTCAGCCACCTTGGAAAATGGAATCCAGCTGTCCATGAGCTATTATGGACCCACAGGGAAGACAGCAGGTAAAGTAAGCAAATAGGAGAGGATATCTGAGAACCATAGGGGGAATTCGGGTTTTTTTCTTCATACACTTCTTAATAATTTGTTGCATGCAATTCTGCCTCTCTCAGCAGCTGTTACTACATGGTGGGGAATTTTCAGCAAGGCTCAAGATGAGATTACATTGTCAAGAACATTCTGTGATTCAAATTTCAAAATGGAAGGAGGTTTCCATCCTTTTTTACTTAGTGTGAAAACAGAGCAGTGAAGGGAGAAACTTGAAGTGTGGTTATTAAGTAGCCCAGCAAAATCAGCCAATTAATTTGAGCCAAAGAAAATGTGATTTTCTGAGGAGTCTTCTTGGTTTTCCAAGAAATAATATTTTTGTAAATTTATATAGGTGATTATGGAACTTTCATTTTACGTTAGGAGTTGGACTTCAGATTACAGTTGAGCAGATGTAATGAGGGGTTTCTCTCAGCCTTTCAGTAAACACATTCAACAACTGGAAGCAATTGCTTCACAAAACCACAGTGAAAATAGCATCTGCTTTTACCAAGAACTTTTTGTTTACATTACATTTGAAAGGCCACTGAAACCATCATATGGATAAAAGTGAAACCCTCCTCTGATCAGAAAATAATCCCAGCATTTTTCAGCTCTTCAAATACAAAAACATTTAATTCAGTGCGTCTTTGTGTGGACTGTGGTAAACCATTCAACTATACACTCATTTTTAATTATTCAAATACATCTTACAAATTAATTACTAAAAAAAGGACTTTTTAAACTTGGGCCAGGAGAGCATCCACAATGTAGTGGACTGTGAAAACTTGTATTTTGGCATAAAAGAGAGACATGTCTAATTAAACACCTACATGTCAGCTGTGATGTTCAGGCTCTTTCACATGTACTGTAAGCATCCTATTCTACATTAGAATAACCCTTGCATATTGAGCTTTAGTGCAGCATTGCTGACTGGCATTCTTTGATTGTTTGCAGTTTTTCTACAATCACTTACTTATGGCTAATTCCCCTTGTGGATGTTTGTATCGTAAGCACCCAGAAAAATTCTGACCAGAAATATTCTGGCTTAGACTATTCTCAGATGGCATCTGTCCCTAATGTAGAACAGTATGCCATGTAATCCATAGTTTCTCTCCACTAGTTGGTTAAATTGGGTGTGAATTACTCATTTTCCCTGCATTACTGAAATATTTTTCTGGAACCTCTCTGATTCTCAGTTTTCTTATTGTTTTTCTCATTTTATCTCTTGCCTCTTCCTTTTAGGGAAGCTAAGATGACAAAAGGCCTCACAATGTTTACCAGCTATATGCATATTTCTTATTTCTTGGTTAAATGTTAGTATTTGTTTAAGTTTTGAATTATTATTTGTTTTCTCTAGCATGACCAAAGTCTAACTTCAGACCACCTGACAACCAGACTTAGAAGTAAGCTCCTTGCCGCTTTGTGAATCTGGCACTGCTGGAGCACCTGTGGGGCTTTCGCCTCTTTGCAATTGCTCTTTGTGCCTTGTTGAAATCATGAGAGTACAACTCCAGTGTGCTAGAGATCTGTACGTGCGTGCAGGAAGAAGGAAATCTTCCTTAATCTGACAGTCCTCTGGAATTTCACATCTCTCTGTAGATTTCTAAAGACACTTTCCCTCAGTCTCAACAATCCACTCTTTTTCACTGTTACCCTCATATGCTCTGGTCTCATTTTTCAAGGCAATCAGAGTAAAGGGCTAGGTGAAATTTCCTTAGGCATCAAGAGCCTATAACAGCTTCTATTCCTAAATTCAGCCTCAGAAGGTAGTGTCATATGAAACTGAGCTCCCCTCACTATCCGTAAGAACTTGCTTATATCCAGTTTGCAGTGTTCACATGGATATTTATACTCACCTGACAAGATGGATTACATTCACTGATGATTTTATTGGACAGTTGTCTCAGAATCCTTCATTTCGACTATCCTTCTCTGTGGAGCACTAGCTCTGTCAAAGTTTATTAGTCAGCTGTTTCTTCTCACCATCCACGTGGAGATGGGTACTACTACTTGTTTATTCCGTGGCCATGCTGTCTGATAAATGTGTATCAGAATGGACCCTGTGGAGAATTTTATACTTTCCTATTTTATGTAATTAGCTGAGAATTTTTCTCTCACATATTATAAATAGAACACATTTGTTCGCCTTTTCTCAGACTTCCAGTAAGCTGTAAAAGTCACGCAGTAGAAGTTTCAGTGCATGAAAGCAGAGCCACCTAACAAAGTATCAGATTCTCATGTATCAGGCATGCATCAGCTCATGAAAATGGGGATTTCGAAAATCTTGCTGGTGGTTTAAATTTCCTTTTCAGACTAAAGGACATGGATATATTCAGATAACTGTGCATTTCCCTAATGCTGGCACCAAGCAAAAACTGAGACTGAAGGCTTAAAAACTGAGGTGGAAGGCTTGATATCCATGGACTCCTAAATAGCACTTTATCGCCAGATGATCTGATAGTTTCTTCTAGTCTTAGATTCTTAAATTTTTGGTTACCCTTGCAGTTTCCATAAATCCAGAATCATCCATGAGGCAAATGAGCATGCAGGCAGCCTTTCTAGTAGTTTAGAACTTCTTAAGGTGGCCTTTGCATTTTCTTATCTGTAGAGCTAAAACCATCTGTGCCAAAACCTTTCTGGAACCAGTGAACATAGTAGCACTAAGGCCTACCTTTTATCTTTTTCTTTTTCTTTTTACAATCTTGGTAGCGCTTAGGCCTACCTTTTATATTTTCAAAAATATACTAACGCTTCATCCGCATTACAGAAAATTCTATGATCTCACACCGGAATTGTTCTATTAGCTTCCTTACAGATGCTTTTCTTTCCTTCTTTCTCTCAGTGTGATCTGGCTTGTGATTTGTCAAGGAGTTATTTAATTTTTGTTTTCCTGATATCTGAGTTTTCACAAATAATATTGTTCGTTCAAAGAAGCAGAATTAAAATGTAATTTTACCAAAGAAAAAAAAAAAAGGATTTTTAGAAGTCTTCTTAAAGACGTTGACATGACTGACTTGCCATTAAACTTCATACTTTGTAGAAACGACTAAGCACATCAAGCTTGCTTTATTTATTTACAAAAGGGCATCAAAAGATGATTTCTGAGATCATCACGTTTTGCTCACTGTTCTTTTCAGTTCTTATCTATATGAGTGTGGTTAAGATGTGGATAATAAGTTGCTCTATCTGGGGTAACAAGTTCTCCAAAACTAACAAGATTTTAATTGCTTAAATTGTCTGGATAGGAAACAAGGTGCTATTTTATGAGTTGTGGGGTTGGGACTTAAGCTGCCTTCAAGCAAGAAAACATGGTTTTTTAAAAAAAAAGCAACTTTCAAAACAGCATTAAGGTTAGAGGTGTCTGGGTTTTTCTGATTAAAGAGGAGTGTCAGTTCATTGAAACAAAAATGTTTTACAGAAAATCTTAGTTTCTTACTATTTTATTTTCAAGAAACTTGTTTTGGAAGGCAGCATGACTACCTCCTGTCAACACGCTTAGCAAGCTGCCCTAATGTTTGGCCTTTAAGAACTGGGGGAGCCGTAGCAAGTCTAGATCATCAGAATTTTTTCTGAATCACTTTAGCAAAATAGATCTATGTAGTGCAGAACTTCTGGAGTAGGTCCATGCTGGATCAGCCCATGATAAAGCATAACAACAGTGATCATTTCCTAGATACTAGACTCAAAATATCTCCACCTATCTAAGTATTCTGGAGGTAAAAGAGATTTTTTAAAATGTGTTTTTTATTTTTGAGAGGCAAGTGATGACCTGTGGAAACAGTAGTTTCAAGATGCCTTTTAGGTTGATGAGTAAGAAGTCTATGGAAAGATTTTCTAAATAATTTCATATATTCAGTCTCTCTATCTGAAATAATGAACTCCCTCACCAAGGTTATTGTTTCAAAGGTAAAATTTAGTGTACAAAATCTTGTTAAAAAATAAAATGTGGCCATCTACATTTATGAAATGTAATTGCTTTAAAAATATTACTTTTCCTTTCCTTAGATGATGAAACAGATCCTGTCTTAGCAAGAATTCTGAACATCACGTCTGTTCATATTCCGACCATAATTTCTCCTGTTACATCAGCTTCAGAAAAAAAAGATAAGTCCGTCAAACAAAAATCAGGAAAATCTCTGCCATCTAGAAAAGCAAGCGGTAGCAAAACAGGGCTTCCACCACCTGATGACCCAGTAAAGCAAGAAGAAGGAAAGGTGAGAGAATAGACATTGTCCAGTGAACACAGAAAAGAAACAAACAAAAAATTCAAATACAGGAACTTAGGTAACAGAAGCATATGTTCTTCTCAGAGGGCTTTGAGCTGTGCCTTAACAAATTCCTGACAATTTATGGTGCTTCTAAGGATATGTTTTACTCTTCCAGCTGATCTCAGGTGCACATATTGGCAGCTGTTAATGAAACTAGCCTTTATGACTCCATGACATAGAGCAATTTGTCCTCCACTGTCCACATACTTTAGTCAATTTTGGCTTTATAGTTACACCTGTTACATTATTAATATCTCCGTGACTAGAACTGCACTAGAAATTAATTTTTAGTTTAACAAAGTGGGAGAACTTTTCTGTGCTTTCCAAAGTCTGTACTGGAAAGTCTAACCAACCAGTAAATTAGTGGAGACAGTTTTGCAAAAGCTTGCTCTGCAATTTGCTCTTTCCAGCAGATCACAAGCCAGGGACCAGCAACTTGAGGAAGTAACTTGCCTATAACTCAAGTGCTTCTGTCACAGAACAGGTCTTTGGAAAGCATGGATGCCATTTCCAAAACAGATTCTGAATTTCTGTTATGGAATACTTAGCACAGAGTAATACAAGAATAACAGGACCATATGCCTCAGAAATGCACAGCATTTAATCTTGAACATCTTCCACAGAGCTCTATGAGAAGCTTTTTGGCATTAAAATATGTGAGTGGGGGAGGCCATATCAATTCAGAAATGGGTCACAGTTCCCCTCTGCAAAATGACTAAACTACATTATTTCAGGTCATTAGTTAACTATTGAAAGGATATTGTAGGCAACTACAGAAGGTTTGTTTGGTCCAGTGATCTCACAGATCAGCCAGAGTATGAGTTACATGAAAAGTTCTCAAAATACGGGCAAACATATTAGCAGAATGGTGGAAGAGGCTGCAGGAACGTCGTTTCTTTTTTTGACAGCTTTCTCCAACCAAAAGTGTCCCAGAAATGGACACAATTAAAATACAAAATAAACTCAGAGAGAAATTAACATGAGTAGTATTGAGAACCAGTTTTGTTACCACGTTCAGTTTAGGAAAGGACGGTCTCCTGAAAATAGATGTAATCAGAACACAGAGCAATGAGGTCCATGAACAGTTTCATGTAACACTAATATACTGTCTGGGATAATTCTTTAATGATAGTTATGATAAAAAGCTAATAAATCTATAATGATAGTTATGATTTTTAACCTGATCAAGTTAGAAAAGGGTAGCATTTCTAGATAATGTGCTTGTTAAATGTGGCTCATAATATCATTCCAGACTAACTGCAAAAATATTTAAAGCATATAGTAATGTGTTTTAATTTTCCCCCTACTTGATTCCATCTTTAATTAAGTATGACTGAAATGATGCGGAAAGAACTGCTAACAGAATGTCCTGGTTCTCACCTTGAGCCAAATTTAAGTCCAATCTACTGCATATAATACTTCTCATGACCAGTTATTTTCCATTAATCCAGTCATTACTCCTCCTTGTGTTCTGCTTCTTCCATAGGCTGGTGGATGAAACGTAAAGAACATGAGTGGCACCGGGTGTGCCATCTGTTCCTGCACTGTTTTCTCTTTTGTCCTGTTCCTCAGAATTTCTCCATAGAAAAGTACCACTAGTTCATCTGACTGCGGTGGCTTCAAGTTCCAGGGGCATTTCATGAAACTCTGCTTCAGTTCTTGTTACCACTTTATAGGGTGCTGCCCTCAAAAGGTTCGCCATCGTCTGAACTAAAGATCTGAACGTTTCTTTTTCAGAACTACATCTTGGAAAACTGGTCTTTTGTCTACTCTGGTTACTTTTGGCCACTTCTTTCAAAATCACTCTTCCTGTGTCCTCACGAGAGGCTTAGGAGTTAATCTGCTCCATTGGCAAGGGAGGTTGAATGGAGATCATAATTCTGTTGACAGAGCTGGACTGAACTGTTCAAAGAGGTAGAATGGGCAGTATGGAAATGAAGGGTTAAATGCAGTGCAGGTTTATTAGAAACAGGAGATAGCTTCCGTTACAAAGCAAATGAGAGGAGAGAGTAGTAAGAAAGACAAGAATGAACACATACTGAGAGTTATAAGCATAGCTTTGGAAGACTCTAAATATGACATACCTATGCTGCTTCTCTGGTACCTAGTGGATGAAGTAATCCTGTGGCTCTTGTTTCAACATGGATTGTGTCCATATCCGCAAAAAGTCCTTCTGACCTAATTTCTCTCAGACAGAGAGTGTCCATATTAGTGTATGCAGCACCCAGCTGTGTGAGTCTGCAAGTATTTTGGAGGACGGGATTAGAATCCGAAGCGAACTTGACAAATTCACATGGGACATGGTCTGTAAAATAAGATGCAGTTCAGTAAAATAAGTGCTAGGTTCTACGATGACGTATAAATAAGCAATATATAGCTACAGAATGCATAACAGTTCTATCAGTAACAGTTCTATGGAGAAAGGTCTGACAGTTGCAGTGGACCACAAGCTATACATAAGTCAACAATGCCATCTTGCTGTGGAAAGGGCAAAGACCACACTCAGGTGAATAAACAGGAGTGTAGCCTGCTAAATACATGAAGTTATTTTCCATTCAGGGCTGGTAGGACCTCAGTTGAAGTATTTTGTTCAGTTATGGATACTGCACTGCAAGAGGATTATGGACCACACTGGAGAGTTTTAAGGAAAGCACCAAGAAAGATCAGAGGTCTAGAAAATTCGACCTGTGGGGAAAGATTAAAAGACTTGGCTAGGGTTTGTTTGATCTAGAGTTGAGAGACAGAATAGCCTTCTGTAAAGAGCTAAAGGGACACCATCATCTCTTATGCTAGCATATATAATCAGAAGAAATAATCAGAAGTAAACTTACTTATGTCAGTAACGTTAATCAAGGTAAATCATTGGAATAGATTGCCAGGAAACCTCCAGCCCTGGAAATTTTTAGAAGAGGTTAAATGAATAGTTTTCTCTAATGATAGAGGTGTGCTTGATTATTTTTTTTTTCCACCATTAGACAAGGAGAAGTAGATGACAACTGAGGGTTACTTCTGCCCTATTATGTGACTTCTACCCCGTGATCCTGTGACTATGAGCTTAGCGTATTGAGAGTAGCCTTAATTACCCAGTGTTATTGTGTAAAGTAACCATAAAATGAACAGTATCCTTTATACTGAAAAACAGGTGGCAAAACATCTATCAATTTTGCACTATGTTTCTACTAAAAATCAAGAATATGGAGTAATACCAGGACATGTTCTCTCTGTTATCTCTGTCTGCAACCCAAAACTGTTTTCATCTTATGACTATTGGCATAGTGTGGTTCATTGTCGCATAGGTTTTTGGGGGCTGGCATCAAAGGGTCCATTATTGTGTTTTTCCCAAATGTTCCAGGGTCTTTAGAAATTCCTGAGGTCAACGTCATCTTTTCTGTCATCAGAACAGTTTCCACTATAGGGCAGTGCAAAGAGGATCACATGTTTTGACTGCCAAACATTCCTTCCTCTCACCTTCTCAAGTCAGTGCGGTACTTGCAGCAGACTGGAAGTACTGCTCTACTTGTCTCTTGTGCTCTTTCAGTGATTAAAGGTAAAATAACTGATGTGCAACTTGAATAATTATTTCGTGTTCTTCTGCTTCACGTTATCCATTTACTGTCATCTCATCTTGGCACTGTGCACAAGATAGCATAAGGATAGCAAAATTAATAAAGTTAAGAAGGGTTGTTCTTCAAGGGTTAATAAAGAGGAATGAAAGAAGGTAGCGTAATCGAAGATAAGCTAATGCTTCCACTTCAGAATCCGTAAACTCTCAAAATATTAAAAATGAGTGGTAGAAAACACTTGTTTAAATGTTTTACTACAGCTGCAATCTGTAGTCTAATTTTTTCTTTATTCTTTTAAAAATGACCAATAAAGCTAATTGATATTTCATTCTGTAGATGGAAATGGAAGAATCGGCTTCCCAAGAAGAAGAGATGTCAAATGCTTTTTCTTTTTCAAGTTTGAACGTCTCCTGTCCCAACGGACTAGTATTAACTTTCCTTGGTGAAAGTTTTGGAGGTTAGTTTTCTGAACCACTGCAAATTAAGGAATTTAAAAGAAAATTACAGAAGAAAAATTGTTTCTGCCTTTATGGATTTAGATGTAACAATATGATTTTTTTGATGTCTCATTGCTAGATCTGTCATGATGTTTATTTGATAGTATATGCAACATAAATAATATGTTTTACTTCAAAAAATTGTTAAACCTAGAATTGCAAGTTTTTGGACAGAACAGGGCACGGAAGCAGCAACCCTAGAAAGCACTTCGGAGTCATATTGGATAATCAGTTGAATATGCATGTATATTGGAATACTAAAGAAAAGTGAACAATTTCAATTCATAACTGCATATATATTAAGGAATCTTGAGTGATAAGAGAAAGATTGTTATGTTACCTACATCTGCACCTCCTTTGGAATCATATGTACTGTTCTTCAGTCCACAGAATCACAGAATGTTAGGGGTTGGAAGGGACCTCTGTGGGTCATCTAGTCCAACTCTCCTGCCGAAGCAGGGTCACCTACAGCAGGCTACACAGGACCTTGTCCAGGCAGGTCTTGAATATCTCCAGAGAAGGAGACTCCACAACCTCCCTGGGCAGCCTGTTCCAGTGCTCCGTCACCCTCAGAGGGAAGAAGTTCTTCCTCAAGTTCAGACGGAACTTCCTATGCATCAGTTTGTGCCCGTTGCCCCTTGTCCTGTCACTGGGCACCACTGAAGAGAGTTTGGCCCCATCCTCCTGACACCCACCCTTCAGATATTTATAGACATTTCTAAGATCCCCTCTCAGCCTTCTCTTCTTCAAGCTAAACAAACCCAGCTCCCTCAGCCTTTCCTCATAGGACAGATGCTCCAGTCCCCTCATCATCCTAGTAGCCCTCCGCTGGCCTCTCTCCAGTAGCTCCTCATCCTTCTTGAACTGGGGAGTCCGGAACTGGACACAGTACTCCAGATGGGGCCTCACTAGGGCACAGTAGAGGGGAAGGAGAACCTCCCTTAATACACCCCAGGATCCCATTGGCCTTCTTGGCAACCAGGGCACACTGTTGGCTCATGGTCAACCTGTCATCCACCAGCACACCCAGGTCCCTCTCCACAGAGCTGCTCTGCAGCAGGTCTGCCCCAAGCCTGTACTGGTGCATGGGGTTGTTCCTCCCCAGGTGCAGGACCCTGCACTTGCCCTTGTTGAATTTCATCACGTTCCTCTCTGCCCAACTCTCCAGCCTGTCCAGGTCACGCTGAATGGCAGCACAGCCTTCCAGTGTATCAGCCACTCCTCCCAGTTTTGTGTCATCAGCAAACTTGCTGATGGTACATTCTAAGTCTTCATCTGGGTCATTGATGAAGAAGTTAAACAAGACTGGGCCGAGTACTGACCCTCCGGGGATACCACTAGTTACTGGCCTCCAACTAGACTCAGCGCCGCTGATGACAACCCTCTGAGTTCTGCCATTCAGCCAGTTCTCAATCCACCGCCCACACTTCCTGAGCTTGCCTAGGCGGATGTTATGGCAGACCGTGTCGAAAGCCTTGCTGAAGTCTAGGTAGACAACATCCACTGCTCTCCCCTCATCTACCCAGCCAGTCATGGACACTCTGCTACTGGATATTTTACAGTCAGTTTTTGTTGCCTTTATAAAAGGTATGATCAGTTTCAAACAGGAATTATTTCACGTAAGTCCTTTAGTTTATGCCGTCCAGTACATACAGAGAAGATGGTCATAAAAAGTCTTTCTGCCCTTATCGTTGAATTTCCTGCAGAAGACTGATAGAGTATATACATGCTTAGAAGTTTCTTTCTGCAATGATTCTGTTTCCCAGTGTTTTTGAAAACCAGCATGAGATTCGTCTTTGCATACTGTAAACTGTAGTAAATCCCAGGGTTTAGTAGTCGTGCCATTAGGTTTTGAAGCAGACAAATGTGAATTTGGTTGTTGTCATCTGGTCAATTTTAAAAACAGCCACCCACAGAAGTCATTTAATACCTATGTACAACAAATCTGTCCAGCCCAGGCTGTGTTGGAGATATTGAGTGTGTGAAAATCAATCAGCACAACTGCAGAGGTGCTCATATTCAGGATTAAACCAGATTTATCATACACCCTTAGTACATGCTAGCAGTAATTCCAACACATCCTATGCATGAGCTGTTGGATAAAAATCAGAAGAATAATTTTTTTTCCTGGCAACTGATGAATCAACATACCTGTTAGAAATCAGCCAAGTGTATATAAATTAATAAAAAATAAGAAATTTGTATTAAATAGAATTAATAAATCTAGTATGGTATGCAGTGATTCAGGACAAATTTATAAGCACATGAGAGAGGAATGTCTTGATTTTTTTGTTGTTTTGGCCACATAGACGTGAATTGCTAGTAAAAGCATCCCTCATTTTTCTTCTCAGACATCTCTTTCATATCAAAATCATAGAATCATGGAACAGCCCGGTTTGGAAGGGATCTCGACAGATCATCTGGTCCAAACTTTTGTGGGAAAGGGATCCTAAATGAGATTATCTAGCACCCTGTCCAATTGCATCTTGAAACCTCCAGAAATGGGGTCTCTGCCATGCCCCTGGGGAGGTTGTTCCAGTGAATGATTGTTCTTACTGTAAAAAAATCTTTTCTTCTATGAAGATGAAACCTCTCCAGTACGACTTGTACCCATTGTCCCTTATCTTCTCCATCTGGCTTCTTGTGAAGAGAGAGCCTCTGTCCTCTTTGTAGCCGCCCTTTCAGTACTGGAATACTGTGATGAGGTCCCACCTGAGCCTTCTCCAAGGAGGAGAGACCTAACTCCTTCAGTCTTTCCTCATAGGACAGGTTCTCCAGCCCTTTGATCATCTCTGTGACCCTCCTTTGGACCCTCTCCAGTCTGTCTGCGTCTTTCTTAATTTGTGGGGACCAGAACTGGACACAGTACTCCAAGTATGGCCTGACAAGCGCTGAGTAGAGTGGGATGATCATGTCTCTGTCTCTGCTAGTAATGCCCCTGCGGATGTAGCCAGCTTGGCAGATTTTGGCAGTTTAGGGTAAATGTGCTCTGATCAATCTGATATGAAGTAAAGAGGATGCTGAGGGTTTTCAAACATACATAGTTTGGCAAGGAGCTTAAGTTGAAATGCTAAATAGTTGAGGTAAACAGAGCAACTATGGACATATGCATGTAGTCTCTTGACACAACTATCGTAATTACGCTCATTAGCACACTCAGCACACTGCTATAATTTAATCTAAAGCCCCTATTTGTTAAGTAGGCAAAATAATCTAACTTCAGTTTCTATACGAACTCAAACTTGGTGAAGCTCTAACTTTTTTCACCTTTATGGGCAGTTAGGAAATTCCTCTCACATAATTTCAGTCTTCCAAAAGTTCACCATCTGTAATAAATTCATCTTCAAATTTCCCTTTTTTTCATTTGCAAAGACAGACACCTCCACAGGAGGATGCAGAGTTTCTGAGTAGATAACTGCTTTGACTTGTTCCCTGAATAACAGTCTGGCCCCTACTCTGGATGACAGAGGAAGCCAAGGAGGGTTAATCTTACTCACCTAAAGTTGCATACCTTCTGTAGACACCATGATACTGGGTATTTAGCACTGTTTGAATGTGTGCTACACAGTATGAAGTAATTAAGAATTTGTTTTCAGATTTGAAAGGTAAAGCCGCTACAGCTGAAGCTGAGAAAGAGGTGGTAAAGAAAACTGAGGCTGAAGCAGATGAAGCCAAGGAAGAGAAGGTTGAGAAAGGTGAGGCCAAAGCAAATGAAGCAAAGGACAAAGAGGCTATGGAAAGTGGAGAGAAGGAACATCAGGTTACAGAAGGTGAAATAAAGCACAAAGATACCAAAAGAGAACAGGCCAAGCAGCCTACTCTGGAAATTCTGGTCAGGCAGAGTTATCCCCAGAATGTAAAGAACTCTCATCTATACACATCTGCGGCAAGACAAACAGAACAAGAAGTATCAAGAGTTGTCACCAGTCAAGGAACTGTCATAAAGTACATGATGGATGGATCTACCCAGGTATGTTTAGTAGAATTCATTGAAAGCAGGATGCGTGTATGATTACCCTTGAATTTCTGCTTATCAATTGAGATAGAGAAGTGCCCAGTTTGTAGATGGAGGAGCTAAGTAACTACTGAGTTATACAGCCATGTCAAGACTAAAATGCTCTTAGCTTTGTTCAGAATCAGAACTTAAAGCACATAGGGAGCTTTATGATTAAAATTTTAGGCACATAAAGATTTTAGGCAACTTTGGGATCAGGAAATAGCTGCATATGGTTTTGAGAACTACATTCCTGGATGTAAACATCTGAAATGTGGATTAGTTGGGCTTTGGGTATTTTTGGCAACATGAAAGCATCCATATATTTTTTCAATCATCTGAACAGTCATATGGGATCCAGAAAAGACCTGAACTGTTCTTCAGTCCTGCAGACACCTTTAGGTATCCTAAATTTTGGTCAAAAATACTTTATATTCTTAAGTACCGTCTTTGTTTGCATGTATTTAGGTTGCTCGGAATTCTGATTTCTTTTAGATGCTATAGGCTAGATACCATCTTTGCAGATACTGTAGTCAGTCTACAAGCAACTGTCTTTTTAAAGTCTAAGGCTCTATGTTTAGTTAGCAAACAGATGAAAAGAGGAGTCATCTGGTTTGACTCAGAAACTGTCAAAATAATCCCTTATTTCCTCAAGGTTTTTTTCTAAGTAGACCACAAGTCCTAGTACAAATTCTTTACGTTCATTCATTACATTAGATCTTAGACCATTTACCCAGGATTTCTGAGAAACATATCCATTTCAGAAGTATGCAAAGAATCTAGCTGCTGTATGTCTATACATTCTCAACATACTGTCTCCTGACAGAAGAATATAGATTTGACGTGCCTAGCATGATTGTACCATAGTCTTTGTATAAGCAGATTATGAGTGCATCCTTCTTTATATTAATGTTTGACTCATCAAGAACGTATTACATATAGATAAGCATTCAAAAAAGAAGAAATACTTAATTACCTTACAGTAACTGTAACTCTTGAGACGTTTCTATATGTTGTCCATTTGTTTTCCACATTGTACCATCTTCTCCCTAGAATGTCTGTACTGTATTTGTAAATGAATTCAGGGATGATTGTTCCCTGCCACACAAGGAACGTGGATATCAAGAGCTGAATGTAATGGACAATAGATCTCAGAAACCAGCTATAATAAGATAAATAACCATGACATCTTTTTGTTAGCTGTCTTGTTGGCTGAAAAATCAACAGCAATCCTAGACTGTGGAATACCTAAATACAGATCAGTATGGTCATACAGATGCATTACCACTGCTACAAAAAAAAGTCATCAACCTTTGACCACTTAAGCAGTCAAAGAATAATCTTTACTGTTTACTTTTATAATGCCTATTTGTTACTAACTAGAGTCCCCGTTAATTATATATGTGAACTGCAGCAATTGGCAGTCCTTTCTTTTTGAGATAACTTCTTTATTTCTTCTGTTCATTCTGAGAGTCTCTTACTTTTTTCCCTCCATCACCCACAGTATTCTAGGGACAATTGCATTTGTGACACATTCTTTGGAGACTTTCTGTTTGAGGTGATTTTAACCTCTAGTATGTCCTTGATTGCTGTAGATTCTGTTTGCTGATGGCACAGTGAGTAGGAGTCCTAATTCTGGCCCTGTCCTACCACCACCTACAATTCCAGATAACATGCAACCATTACCAGAATCGGAGCCTTCACTTGGGATCAACACTAAGAAAGGTAACATTTCCAGTGTTTTGGACAGATTTAAAGTTAGCAGGGCTGATGATACTTAATAAAAGGTATATTTCTTTAGTCTGAAAATTCTGCCAGTGTGAAAATGCAAGTTTATCTGGACTCAGCTGCTGCACGCTGCTGATTTGTTACCTTCATGTCAAATCATTTCACTCCCCCTACAGATTTCTTTTTCCTCTAACATGCTAGCACTTTAATAAGTAAAAAAGTGTGTAAGAACTGCGTTGGTAACAGAGTGATTCAACACAAAGAATTTTAAAATAAGTCCTTGTAGCTACAGTAGTGTCAAATTCTTACTTATGTGTTACACGGTTTTTAGTCTTGGTATTGAGAAATGCTTCTCTCGCAGAAGACTTAGGATACTTTTCTTTCTCTTTGTATGTATTCCAAGGCACTTGCTACTGGTCATTATTAATTGTTTGTATGGACTTGTGTTCTGTACCAATATAACTATGCTTATGTTATTTTGTTTGGCTGAGAAAGAACCAAATAAAACTTTACTTCATACCTCAGAGTATAGTCTGAGGTCACTGTCAGTGCTCCGTAGTGCAAAGAATAATTATGACCTGTCATAATATTAACATGTAATTTATTGGAAGTATGTGAATAAAAATTGCTGTCGATGAGAAAAGTCTCTCAAAACGAGACTTTCAAGTCTTCAAGTCCAGACCTTGTTCTTAGGATATTCCTTAGGATAACTGCAAGGATGTTTGAGAACTTCACTGACAAACCATCTTCTAATTTTCAGTCTCAGTATCTGTGGTCGGTGCGTAGCCTTTATTGCTGATCCTTTTTTTATTATCACTTTTTCCCCCAACTTTCCTCTCTGCTGCTTAGTCTTGACAAATTTATAGTGAAGTTTCATCTCTTTTTGGCTTTTTTTTTTCTAGGATGTATATGCTGTAAGCCTTTTAGACTCCTCTCTGGACTATGCTGCTGTCTTTTGCATACACATATTCTAAGTTCCTATTCTTGAATATGGGAGACTGGAGTTCTCTGTCACAGTCTTAATGAGATCTCTCCATTAGCTTTCACAATGGAATCTCTGTCCCTTTTCTTCTGATGCACCATACGATTGTGTTGGGCTTTTTTGTCACTATATTTTCACACTGATAACTTGTCATTATGTACGGATGATACCTCCAGGTCTTTCATTTCTTCTGCTGTTGCAGACTTGCCTGAAGTGTAAATTATTTTTATTCCTTTTTGCATTAAATTTCATTCAAATAGGCTGTATCAAATTCCTATGACTTTAATCTTCAAGCTCATGGGACAGTTTTGGGTGCTTTTTTTTCTGTAATCCATTCATATTTTCTTCTGCATTGGTAGTTCCTTCCAAAGTCACGTCATAATCAGATGTCATTAGCATGCTGTTTACTTTTTCTGGATCATTAATGAACACATTAAATAAGATTGGTTCAAGGGCGCACCTTAGAGTAACAGCAGTTGTAATTTTCCTACAGCCTGATAAATAGTTCTTCTTTCAATTCCGTCAAAACCAATACTCACAGAAACTCTTCACCTTACTGATACTGTCTTTTGTGATGGAGAATACCAAGTCTGATACAGAAATTTTTGTTTCTGCAGGAAAAGGGAGTGGCAGAAACAATGTATCACACCCAAACAAGGACGAGTTGTTTGAAGATACTGTGCAGGGTCTGGTTAATACTGAGCAACTGAAGAAGAACCAGGCAGGAACCTGGATAACAACAACTCCATCAGGCATTCGAGTGGGCACTGAGGGAGCAAAGAGAATATATCTGAAGCCACTCTTAACCTATCAGGCAACTGACCCAGCTGATGGAACGGTATTACTATTTTTGTGTTATTATAGCATTGTCTGCTAAGCTAAGAGACAGGGCTGCCATCATATAAGTTGTAGGATTTGTTCTTTGAACATATATACTACAGCTTGTGTTATTACACTGTTACTAATACAAAAGCTTTAGCTTTTGAAGAAAATGCAAGTACTCAGTCTCTAAAGTATTTGAAGTTGCAATAGTCTAGCTTCATAAGAGTTTCAGTACATAACACCTTGTTTTACTGTTGTTGCTGTTACAAGTATCACAGAGCTAATATGAATGAGTATTCCTTCATTCTTTCAGGTTATGACTGTACGAGACGATGAAGTGATAATTGTTGAGAAGCTGGATGGCAGCAGAGTAGTAGATCATGCTGATGGTACTAGGATCACAACGTTTTATCAAAATCGTAAAGAACTTTTTGTACCAGAGGATAGTGAGGAAACAGGTAAAATCAAAAGGGGAGCATTTATGTCTGTGGTATCTTTTGAAGCAGAGAATTGTCAAAATATATTAAAGAAGGCTCATACCAATAGCTCACATAACAAATCTACTAGTGCAGTCTAGGCTTAGCTTGTCTACTTGGTCTCACCAGCCTCAGAGATTTTCAAAATTTGGTTGAATATGGCCATGGAAGATGCCACACCTAGTAGAAGTGATACTACATTTGTCTGAAACAAGTGGGGCTAATGGTCATCTGGGTTTCTTCTGGGTGGCAGTATATTCTGTATGCTGAGTTCAGTGTATGTTTACTGTGCGGGTGTCAGGACTGTTGTGTTCAAATGCAGTAGGAAGTTCTGGTTGTGGAACACCTCTCTATGGGATTTAAAAAACTGAAACAATGACCTAGAACTGATCTGTTCATTCAATGGGAAGGCAATGCCCAGATTAACATACCAGTTTGATTTGTTTTCCCTGACTACTTCTGCTGAAAAGGAATTTCTTTACATCTGAGAGCTTGTATCACAGGCATAAAAAATTTCAGTGGTCCAATTGTTATGATACAAATATCCAGATCATTACAGTTACAATTGTGCTTGATAAATTAGAGAGTACTCTCCTGATCACACCAGCCACAGAAGGTTACAGATGTTTTCTGCTGTTGGATTTTCCTATATTCAGTGCAGGGTCCGAAAATTTGAAGGTTGCATATTGTTCACGTAGCATAAAATTATGTGATAAAGGATGTTAGGAAGTCTGAGGGTCTTTTACTGAGGAGATGAAGGTCCAGCCTTATGAGAGAAAAAGCAAATTGAATCCTGAGACTTTTCTGTGGTTCATGTGCTCCTGTTTAGTTGTTATGTATTACTTCTTAGATGAACCCTCGCAAGCCATCACAAGGAAAGTGAAATGTATACAAGTAGAGAATCCTCAGTTTGCTACTGTTATAATCAATTGTGAGGATGGTACCTGTTGCAGCATCTTTGGAGATGGGACATCTATTATAGCAAAGCCACAGGGAACATACCAGGTGGGAATTATTTTTAGTTTATGACAGTGAAATGTATCTTTGTGTTCCATGTCTCCTGCCAGCAGTGTCTCTTACCTTGACTGTTTTAACTCACTTCGCTATAGCCTTCACAAATCCTATGATTCCAGCTCCTTTATACTCTGCCAGTATTTAGAGGTTAGAGGTCCCAGTTGACAGGAAGCTGGCAAATGTTGTCCCAGTTTTCAAGAAGGGGTAAGAATGACAACCTTGGTAATTACAGGCCTGGCAGTCTCACTTCAGTGCCTGGTAAAATTATGGAGAATGTTATTCTGGTAATTACTGAAAAACACTTGAGAGACAATGCAGTCTTTGGTCATAGACAGCATGGGTTCACAAGGGGAAAGTCCTGCTTAACTAGCTTAATTTCCTTTCATGATAATGTTACCAATCTAGCTGAGCAAGGAAAGCCAGTAGA